TTGTCGTGTTACATTTTGTGCCAAAGAAATTTTGTTAATGCTGCACGTGCGTTAGATTAGGTTAGGTTAGGTCTAAAGTGAGTGGGTCTATTAGACCTTCCAGCGCAACCCGCAAGGGTTTATTGTGGCTCACAACTATTCACACTCGGCCAAATAAACCCAGCTTCTTAACGAAGTCGATTAGTTTGTATGATGAGTGGTTTTTCAGGTCAGATGGTAAGAGTACGGCTCTGCCGAACTTTAAGAACCTGATTCGGTCTCCAGCGGGGCAGGCACAAAGTATATGCTCTGCCGTTTCATCATTTTCCAAACGGAGGCGACACACATGTGCGTACTCTAATAAATATCCAGAGAGGCGACAACTTGGTAAATCAATATTTAGGGTTGGGATTCTCGGTACGAATGTAATTGGGCCTTTTATCTATCAAAACAATTTACCAAAAGAGCGGTACATAAATTTGTTAGTTAATGATTTGGAAGACGATCCAGATAGTTTGCCTTTAGCAGTCATTCACAGCTGCTGGTTTCAACAAGATGGTGATCCAGCACATAACGCTAGAATCGTTTGTGGTTGTTTGAACCGTCGCTTCCCAGGATAGTGGATTGGTATTCATAGTTGATACATTCTGGCCTGCAAGGTCCCTCGACCTAACCCCACTAGGCTTTTTCCTTTGGGGATATATCAAGAATCAAGTGAACTCTTATAATTGTCAAAATGAAAAAGATTTCCTAAGATTGGTAACTGCATCCTTTAACAATATTGTTCCGAATATGTTATCTCAAGTTTTAAATTCGTCTGTGAAACGAGGGTACTTGTGCTTAGAAAATAACGGCGGGTTATTTGAAAACTTGTTACAAGTTTCTATTTATTTCCTATAATACATATTAGCTCCTTGTTATTACATTACAATTACATTTTATAAACTAAACTTTTGATATTGCGACTCATCTTTGTATTCAACAACGCAAAAATTCCGGCAAGTGGTAAGTTAAAATTTATTATCAATAAGACTAATCAATTTACTTCATGTATCAGCGCGAACTATCTGAAATTGAAGAAATGCAGGTTAAGTAATCACTTTTCATTTTGGGCGAGAAATGGTTATGAAGTCATATTGTGTGATACGTTGCTGTATTAACAACAAAAAATGGAATAGTATACAGGGTATACTTTAGTTTCGGCCCATATAAAAATATAAAGTTGATGATGTTTTCTGAAAGACGAAACGTCGCAGAAATATTCTGCTTACGTTATCGTGTAGTCCTTAAAAAGTGGCCATTGCAAAATGATATTCGTTTTACATTTCCTTTGAAAATAAAGCTAGGAGAAAATAAAAACGAAATTCTCAAATTTCGGTTTTTCTCAGATATCTCCGAAACTACTCGGAATATTAAATCTTACTAAATGGCATATTGGGCACATAAATGCACTACTTTTCTCTAATTCAATCGACCCCGTATCACTTACCGTTTCCGATATCACCATGCTGTTCATTCTTATCTTGGACACAGTGTATGCATAAAAACGTTGATTGTTCATTCTCATAACGTGAAACTTTGGAAAACTAAGTTCATTTAGAGTGAACTAACAAAAACAATTCACTTTGGGATTTTTGAAACCACAGAATCCGATTCATTTGCTACTTATTATGCAGGTGAACCTGTATTTCCCCAAAAGGTGTTGTTCGTCGTGAAATAACAGATCATTATTGCGAATGTGACTTTCATTATAAACATGCATAAAACTGAGACGTAGGTACGTACTGGTTCGATTAGCATAATAATTGACGTACGAAAGATAAAAATATAACGAACACGAAAAGTCTATCATTAACTATGGTTTTCAACGGGTATTTTATGAAATGTAAACCAGTAAACATAAAATTCAATTTCACTTTAAAAATAATACAGTGTATGTTTGAGATGAAGAAATGAAGTTATCAAAAAATATTTAGTATAAACGTTTTCGGCATCTCTGAAATATTGTACCTACAATACATATACAAAATACCTAGTACAAGAGTATCAAAGTTAGGTTTTTTCTATAAAATGTGATAAATTGTTTTCCATATTCGGATGAAAAATATAGCATTATACAGTGCATTTCTTTAATGCCCCCCACTTTTATTTTTTGAACGGGTCAACTCAAAAAATTGAAATTTGGGATAATGATATTAATGCATGAATGCTTTATTAAATGAAATTGATAGATAAAACTTTCAAGATGGCGATTAGGCGCCATCTGGGAAAAAAAATGAAATGGAAAGGGGATCTTGTGACACATCATTTTGAAGCTCCTGACGAATACTTCACAACCCTAGAATATGAAATCAATATCTTCACCTACTACAAAATGGCGTAACATTGACGACAAACACATTAATATCGATATTTCTAGAAATATTCCTTTTGATCTACCATATGGCAATTCCAACAACCCGATAAGGTTTGTTAAATTATTTTTTGTTTATGAAAACGACAAAAAATGTCAGTACGACAATGCACATCATTGTTTAGTTAGAATATTCTCATTTAGTTTTCGGTTTTACTAGTAGAAAGGTACCACGTCAACAATCTCGAAAATGGTCAATTCTCGTCCCATTAGAAGAAAAAATTTAAGCGATTTTTATTTACGGTGCGACGCGTAACTTTCACGAGACCGAAAGGATTTTCAATGAACGTTTTCCGAATCGTCCTATCTGTAGAAAATATTTGAGGGAACTTGTATCCAAATTCACAACTACCGGTAGTGTACATAACAAAAAGCCCCCAGGTCATCCGTCCATTCCGGAAGAACAGCAAGTGCAAATAATTGGTGAGATGGTAGTAAATCCTGAACTTATTCTGTCGCGAATGTTTGTGAGGTGTCCCCTTCTACTGAGTGGAAACTTTTGAAGAGTATCATCCATACAAAATTAAAATGGTACACCAATTAACTGAAGATGACCCTGATTGAAGAACATAATTCTGCGAAATCATGACGAAAACCATTGCAAGGCATCCTACCTATCTCCACAATATTTGTTTTAGTGACGAATGTACATTTTTTTCAAACGGCAATGTTCACAGACAAAATTGCCGTTATTGAAGTGACACGAACACTCACTTTTTCCGGGAAACACATACCCAATACTCAGAAAAAATTAACGTTTGGGCAGGAATATTTGAAAACCATATTATAGGACCTCTATTTATTGATCAAAACTTAACAGGGGAACTGTATTTGAATATGCGGGAAACTAGTGTTGACCCTCTCATCACTAAAATCGTCGAAGCGAATCCTAATGAATTCGATATGGATATTGTATTCCAACAAGATTGAAAACCACCACATTACGAGTAAGAAACTATTTGGATACTTCTTATCCCGGTCGTTATTGGATTGGCCGTCGAGGTCCTACAAAAAGGCCAGCCCACTCGCCAGATTTGACAGCTTTGGCCTTTTTTATGGGGCTATTTGAAGCAAAAGGTGTACGAAACTGAACCTGCTTCAATATTGGATATACGGCAGAGAATAATAAATATTTGTAGAGATATTGACGTTACTGTTTTCGAAAATGTTTAGCGTGAAATATCGGATAGGCTGTTTATATGTCAAGAAGTTCAAGGCAACAATTTCGAGCATCTTCCGAACTAACCTCAATCTTATTACCTCATATTACGTTGTCAATGTATTAAGGCAAGTATTATAAGTTCCGCCATTTTGTAGTAGTTGAAGATATTGACATTATATTCTACGGTTGTGAAGCATTTGTCAGGAGCTTCAAAAAGATGTATCACAAGACTCCCCTTTCCATTTAATTTTTTTTTCCCAGATGGCGCCCAGTCGCTATCTTGAAAGTTTCATCTGTTACTTTTACTTCAAAATAAAGCATTCACACATTAAGGTCATTATTCCAAATTTCAATTTTTTGAGCTGACCCGTTCAAAAAATGAAACGGGGGGAAATTAAAGAAATGCACTGTATAAGGTATATAACGCACGGTTCAACAATTAAACCGGAAATAACATCAAAAAGTTGATATATCCAACCGTTTCCATTCTCAATGAAGACTCCCGGTCTTCAACACGACTGCGATGGTCCAGGATGCATGTTCTTTACTTTGGGTCGATCTTACTTCAAATAAAATAAGGAAGCATGTGAAAATTAATAAAAACAGTATTTCATAATTTTATTTTGACTCAACTTAGTTAATGTTTGCGATACGATCTAAAGACTAATTGATCAACATGGCGCTTGAGGTTTTTTGGGTTCTGTAGATGAAATGTTATATTTACAATTTTTTCCTTTTAGAAGTAAGTACATTGAGACATACTCTGTATCTGAGTAGTATGAATGTGCACTCGGTTCAAGTAGCATTTCTTGAGTAATCATTGTTAATTCGTAATATTTTATGAAACTACAGACTATTTTACCAAAATAATTCTAAAGCTATTGTATTACCCTATTATTTGAGATTATACAATAAATATAGAAGGGACTAAGGCTGCGGGCACGCAAATGGCGACGGCCGAGCGATAGCGAGCCGACGGAACGGTGGCGATGCATACAACAACATCGACAGTATAAGTGACGCGCAATACTTTTCCTCATGGCCCCACTCCGTGCCACCCCACAGTCGCCATCGCTCGGCCGTCGCGATTTTTGTGCCCGTATCCTGAAAACTAGAATGTTATACCGACGAAACACCTTTTAGGATACTTCGATTAATAATTTTTTCAGCCTATGAAGCCCATCCAAACATTCAACATAGAACTTTCAAATGAAAAAATACTAGAAGAGATATTCTCTTGGTTTATGTCAACCAACTCTTATAACATATAATAAAGGAACTGTTACATATTTATGTTGCGACATTACAAAAACAGCATTTTCAATTATTTGTATCTAATAATGATTTTCTCTTGTGTAGTATCTTCCAGAATGCAAATTTTCGGTCTAATATACAAATTGAATACATTTTTGTTCATAGGAAAAATAATCATATGAAATAACTCACCACGCTCAGTGAATCCACGGGAGCTCCATTATCCAACAGAAATTGAACGACATCCAAAAATCCTCCTTGTGCAGCAAAAAACAGCGGGGTTGTTCCAGTCTGAAGAAATAAGAGATCAAAAATTCATTATTTTCATCGATATGATTGAGAATGTTTGCAATTGCATAGAAGCTTTTTAAGATTCATAGGAATGAAACGTGAAAGTATCAAAATATATGAGTAAAATGTGACGCTATGATGGCCTGCTCAAAAATAAGGTAAATGTTCAAATTTTTCGGGCTACGTACATTCCATTAGTGACTTCTTATTTTTTATGTTGGTACACTCGTTTCGAACATATGTTCACAGTTTCAGCTGTTTAACATGGTTAGTTTAGTTTGTTGGTGAGAGGCATTAAATTCAGAAATGTTTTGTGTGTTCGGCGATTTTCTACTGTGGAAAAAAAGGATAAAATAATTTACATGTCATTTTGTGTAAAAAATTAAATTAGGTGCTCGAAAACACATGAAATTCTGACAGTGCTATATGATAATTGTACTCTGAGTCGAAAAAATGTTCACAAGTGGTACAAGCTTCTCACAGAAGGTCGAGAAGATGTAAATCACGACACTGGCCCTGGACCCCCCCAGCACATCAACAACCGATGAAGAAAATGTTGATAAAGTGATAAAAAAATCGTGAAAATTAGAGAAGTGTCTGAGCATGTCGACATATCGGTTGGCTAATGCCAAGCATTTTTTTTCGATGATCGTCAGACCAATGATCACTTATGGTGCAATTGCCTGGTGGCCGAAGACTTTACAGAAAAAGGCCCAGGCGAAGCTCTCTGGCTTACAGAGACAGGCTTGTCTGGCCATCAGTGGTGCCATCAGTACCACACCGTCAGCGGCCATGGAGATCCTCCTATCCACATTTTTCTGGAGAGAGAGGCTAGATGAATTGCATATAGACTTGTTGTGCACATTGCCAATTGCACAAATCAATTTAATGCAGAGTGCAACAGACGGTTAGTTGACACTGGAAGTCACAGCATTCTGGAAATGACATTTGACTATAGGTATGCTTTCATTCATACGGCACAAGTCAATAAAAATATTTTCGGACAGTCAAGCGGCGTTGGAAACTCTTGGCTTCTACCGAGCAACGTCTAAATTGCCAAAAACGACTCATCGATAGGAAGACTTAACAGATCGTCTTTGGTCTGGATTCCTGGCCATACTGGCCTGGAAGGCAATGAGGCTGTTGACTCCCTTGCAAAGGAGGGGGCTGTAAGCAGCTTCATCGGACCAGAACCTGTCATTGGCATCGCTTTGGGCTTTGCCAAATAAACATTGAAAACCTGGATGGCAAAAAGATTTATGCACTTCTGGCAGAATCTTTCAGGATTGGCTCACTCCAAAGCGTTTATTCACCCTTCTAAGCTTGATACCAAACAGTTCTTGGACTACAGGAGGGATGAACTACGATGTCTAACGGGCCTTCTTAGAGGTCACTGTCATTTGAATCATCATATGAAGGGACTCGGACTGTCGGAAGACAGTGTGTGTGTCGCCTCTGTTTGGAAAATGATGAAACAGCAGAGCACATACTTTGTGCTTGCCTCGCTGGGGACTGAATCAGGTTTTAAGAGTTCGGCAGAGCTGTACTCTTTTACTATCTGACCTGAAAGACCACCCATCATACAAACTAATCGGCTTCGTTAAGAAGCTAGGTTAATTTGGTCGAGTGTGAATAGGTATGAACCATAATAAACCCTTGGGGGTTGCGGTGCGGTTGCATATAGACCCAATCACTTTGGACCTAACCTAAACTACCAAAAAGTGCATATCAGAACTGCTTCGAGAATTGGAAAAAATGCTGGCACAAGTGTATTATATCTGAAGGGTCTACTTTGGAGGGAACAAAATGGAAATTGGTGAATGAATAAATATTTTTGGAGAAAAATGAAAATTCACTCAATGTTTTGAACAGAGTAGTACATAGCTGCTCATCATCTAATATTCCAAACATTTTTCGGGATTGTTTTTATCATTACACACTTATTTTAATTTTTTTTTTCAATATTCTTTTTCAAGTTAGGTGTACCAGTAACACAAAGCAATAAAAGATATAACTTAGGCATAATAACTATAGTCTAGGATATGGATAGAGATTTGATATTATCAAATGTAAATGTATTTTTTGTTTACTGTGGGATATTGTTATTATTAAAATACAAAACTCGGCTGTTGAAAGTTATATATTTGAAATAATTGAACATCAAACAAAAAATAAGTGTTGTAGGTGTGATATCAAATCTCCATATACACCACTAAGTGAACGTCTTGAAATCAAGTTCCTTAATATGTATATACCTCCAAGTTGTATGAATACTCTTGCTTCGAATAAATATCAAACTTGCAGGTAACTCATTTTGAAAATATTAAAATTTTGTCTAACTTACTATTCGTTTCGTAGTCGGGTCAGCACCTTGGTCTATCAGTTCTCTCACGCAATCGAAGTGTCCATTCGCTGCAGCCAATATCAGAGGAGTTGTACCTTCCTAAAAGAATGTGCATACGTTCAAAAAATGTCTGAAACCTTCAAAGTAGGATAAACATTTCGAATACAACTAAAAACCCGAACTACTTCATTTTACAAAGAAGAATATCTGATAGAAACTACATTCTCAATTAGTCCGGTCAATTTAGACATTCGAAGCTACCTAAATTCCCAAGCTGAAAATCGGTAAGATGAGCAGCCACTGGGGTTGGAGAAAGACAAGGTGATTGTTCTTGTGTTTTGCTTTTGGTATTTTTAATGAAACATGCTTATCTATACTTATATAAGCAGGTAGTTTTTTAAGAGCTCCGTACATAGAAAGAAGAAAGCGAATGCCCTCAGTGATGATTTGTTGTCGAGTTGAATTACTATTTATAAAAACTTCAGCACATTGAACTAAATTTTGTTTCAAACATTTCGAAAACTGTTATTTTAGCCCTCCTGTAAAATGCAGATGTCGTATCAGAGCCAGTTATTGCGTATAAAAATAGTACATGATTTTGACACTTTGCTAAAGTAGATAAACTTTTTGATTATTATATTTCCGAATGACGTTGAGCTTTTCCTGGTTTTAGGAAGAAAATAGTTTTTTCAGTTGGAGTTCGAGCAGTGAGTAATACGAATAAGTCTACATCTTCACCAACAACAATAGTTGTATTTGTCAAATTAAATTGCTCTATTGCTGTTTCAATTATCAATACATCAGCATCATTTGCTTGTTTTACCAGTATATTTTCAGCGTAAATTTTTCTTCCAACATTGAAATGAATCGAGACTTGTTTTGAGTATTTGTAAGAAATTTTTGTTGACTGGATGGAACTGTCATATTTTATCAAATAAAATATCAATTGATGTGGATGTTGCTAAGGTTCGATGTCGTTGTTCTACAGTTTTGGTATTTCTCGTGCAATCATTGTAGGCTTGGTTTCATTTTACCTAATATTCTTATTATAGTAGTATAAGCGGCGAAGTTTATAGTCAAGAGTAGAAAGGGTTGCTAATGAAAAAATATTTGACTGTTTTTTAAATATATTGTGACTCATATTTTTCATTTCATCTGGGAATTTATCGAACAAGTTTAAATTAAAGGAATTACTAACTGATATCAGGTTTTTATTCCTTGTATTATGTCACGTAACGTAATGAGTTCGATATTTTCCAATATTCTTATGGATTTGTTGAAGAAGTTACAAGATATACATGAAGAATACATTATCATTTCCAATTCACTAAACAAAGTTCTGCAAGAATCACGATAAACAAAATTGCTCATTATCCGTACAGCTTTTTTGAAAATTTCAGATATGGAAATAAAATAAACAAAAATATGCTATTCTTGAAGCAATACAGCTTTCGATCTTTTCAAGTTGTTTTATTTAGTAGATATGACTAACTAGAGAGCCTAGAACTAAAGTGTCGATGTGGCAATGCCTTTTGAGAAACAATCTATCAACATGCGCCCTCAAAGTTTAGCCTTTTCACACTTTTAATTCAGAATATCAATGAGAATAGATTTTTTTTTGTTTTATTTGGATTTGGCTTTCTATTCAACTGATGAAATTGGAAATACAGGAGATTTTTATAGTTACTTGATTCAACTCGAATTTGTGATACATCATCAGCGAACATAATGCATGATTAGGGCTGCAGACTATACAAAAAATAATTTACATAAATTATAAACAGACTAGGTCCCAACACCAACCCTTGGGGAACTCCATGGAAAACCATATGCGAATCAGATTTGTTTTCATTACAGTGTGCCGTTTGTCTGTTTTATTTTTAACAAAACACAAGCACTACACGAAATATTTTTTTGTCACCCAACCAACTCCTCGATTTCTTGAACTGTTGAGATCTACAACTCCAGAAGCCAAACTATTTCAATTCAAGCATTTGTATTTGTTCATGCAAGTTCGAGTTTTTCAATTATTTTTTCTATTGAATATAATATTCATATGGGACTATTATGGATCCTTTTGTATATACCTGAAATTCTGAAACTGAGGCCTTTTTGAGATGGTTCAGATCTTTTTCATAAATACTGAAATAAACTCAGAGTTCTATTTATGAATGGAACCGTACGCACAATTGTTTTCATCAGAGTCATCAAACTAACAAGACAAAATCCGGAAATTACGCATCCGTAGTTGTAACAAAATGCATTTACCCGTTTAGAAGTCATTATTCTTACTACTAAACCGTTTCGAATTTTCAACAAAAGTGAATGCACTAGTTGCTGATTCGGATTGTTGTACAGAACAGGTTTTGATTATTTTCACGGCCCGACTAGTCGATCATCTTGTTCTTTTCAAGTGCCTGCTAATTGTTTTGGTGAAAGGAAGGACGAATTCATTTTAAGGTTTTTATGTTAACAATATTGGGTCTTTCTCTAATCGTTTCGATTAAAACGAAATCTTTTTCAATGTGCTTGAACGGATACTATACCAGGCGAATTATTTACCACGTATGCGCTGATTCATATTTTTCTGTTATGAATCTGCAGGAATGTTCCTTTTGATTTGAGGATTTATTATTTGAAACTATGTATTACTTGATAAAGTTCGAAATCTCGATGAAAAAAGGCACATTTTTTTATCATTAGTCCAACCAGTATGTCTCTGGCTCACTTTTTGTGACAATAGCTTCTAGTTCAAACTTTTCATATTTATGAATCCAAAGACTCAATAAAGTCTGTCGATATTATCAGTTTCATTTAAAAATTAATTCTCGCAATTCTCTTCAATTTAAAATATAATGCTCAGTGATCCAGTGTAATAACCAGACCTTGGAGTTCCACTAGAAATAAACTCAAATCAGGGATGAAATTTGAGGGTGTAACAGAAATTTATGAACATTTTTGGAGTAACGAGAACTTGTACTTGATCAGTAGAATTGGAATCTCTCTCCTAAAATTTCGTACTCATGTTCTGTTTAGAAGTGTTTTCAATAGAGAACTTGTCAGCGCTTCATCCACAATTTGACGAAATGACTGAATGTTATGAGACCATTAGCTATAACACCTGCCGAGAAGAAAATATATCTCAGTGAGATATGGAATAATCAATTCAATCAATAAACACCCATTTCATTAGTCCATTAGTCATTAGACCCACAGGATGTATATCTGGATAACCTTCAATGGTTATTGGGTTAGCTAGTTCAAATAGCAATCCTCTCAGTCGTATGGGATTGTGAGGAAACTGATGGTCATACAATGAGATGATTTAGAACCCAAGTTCTAAAAGACACAAAATGGAGAAGGTCCATGAACACCCATGTGTTTCACATGTCTAATTATTCTCATTCGAAGATACAGTAATACTCGATAAAACTCAATATTACTATCCAGTAGTATATAAAGGGGTAATAGAAATTCAGAAATTGGAAAAAAGAGGCAATGAACATTATTGAAATCTGTGTTCTTTAAAGGAACACAGGCAAAGTCAGGTAGGAAGAAATAACAAAGAAAATTTTTGTGATAACGATAACCAAATTCATAACTTGCGGAATGCCTGAATCACTGAAGAGAATAACATACGAGTCGGAACTTCTAAAATCGGATCTACCAAATCCAGCATTAACACCAGGATACAAGGCGTACCTGCTGTTGCAGAACATGACGTAGAAGGGACAAACCTCGTATTAAAATACGGAGGAACTGCTGTCCTGTCTAATTCAACACGTTACCACGCACGACTTCATAATAAGACCATTCAGATCTACAAGCATTCCAACAATTTCAACAAGAAAAAAGAAGGTTTATGGGTCAATGAAGCAAGGTATCCAGAACTCAAGAAGACCAGAAACGGACTAGAATACAAATCCGATCGATATTCCATGAGTAACAGTGCGAACCAATCACAACGACCCAGCAAAAGTGTGAGCCAATCAGAAGTGGGAATTTGCATGGATACCCAGCCATCGCCCCTACCATTAGCTCCCCCTCCAACCCCACCATCAGCCCCACTGAAATTATAAAAACGAGTAAAATACGTAGCTCGCCAGTCGGACAAGAGATTTCGTGGACCAAAGAAGTTAAATACTTGGGAGTCAACCTAGACAAAAGATTAACGTTCAGGTCTCACGTACGGCAGAGATTAGGAATGGCGAGATCTGCCCGACAAAACCTATTACCAATAATAGGTCGAAGAAGCAATATTGGATTGAAAGTGAAGCTGATGATGATAAAGACCGTAATATTACCGATAATCCTGTATGCCTGTACTTCCTGGAGCCAGTGCGCAGCGACATATAGAAAACAGATCTAGTAGTATATGATTGCGTGCGTGAGGGCCACCGTAAACGCTCCAAAATATGTACCGAATAGGTACATCTTCCGGGATCTAGACCTGAACATACACTACGTAGACGCATATATGAGAAAACACGCAGAGGACACGTTCGACAGAATTCGAGCGCACGACCCTAGATTCCGAGAGAGGGACAAACACAGGAGGCCTACGGCCACTCCCTAGAGTCGCTATCAGGCGGCTCCGGTAAGTATAAGATTTTTTCTAACAGATAACTAACACTTACTTTTCAGGTTCAAGAAAAGCACTCGACCGCGATCGATCTGTTTTTTTAAAACAATAGTCTCCGGTTAGTTTTTGGGGACCCGATGGAAAAATTCAGTTAGGAAAGTCAAGATAAAACAATACAATACAATAGACCAGAAAGTAAAACCACTTAGAGGCTGACTTTCGACCAAAGAAGGTCAGATGTCAATCTTGCTGAAGTGCCCATCGGTAAGTTGGGGACCGCTCCGGAGGAGCGGGGGTGGATGGACGAGATGGGATGTTCTGAAGAAGATTTCAACTCAGGGCACTGGACCTGGGAGGGGTTGAGTGCCCAAATATAACCTTCGTCCTCGTGTCATGAGAGAAAGACACGATGAAAAAAACGCATAACATAATAATAATTTATATCATAGGTATCTAGATGACATATTGTGACAAGGTAAGTAAAGGTTAAAGATAAATTCAGGACACGGCACTCAAG